CTTAAAGAATGTAGTTCAGTGAAACAACATTCAAAGGCTGATATCTTATTGCGTCGACATTTGAATAGAGTTAAGTAGTCTAAATATTTAAAAATATTTAAGTAACACTATAAAATTAGCATAAGGCAAGGATACAGTTTAATTAGAATAGAAAATATCTCTAAATACTTGTTATTTATAACAGACAACAGAGGCAAAAATTTAAATATTTTTTTTCTGTGAAACGATGTATTTGGTTGTTTATTTGCAATAAATAAAACGATTTCTAACAACAAATCAGAATATAATAAAAAAACTACTTCTGGTATTCTTAGTGTTCCAAAAAATCTGGCCAAACCAAATTTCATTAAAATACCTATTTAAACAAGCAAGAATTATCTTAAAAAAATGGAATAAAAATTTATTTTTGTAGAGTGGTGCCTTTTTTCGAAAGAAAAATTGTACTAAATAGATTGATCCAAATAGGTTTATTTTCACCTATCTGAGAAAGCTACCCTTGAAGTATGGCTTATTCGCTTCCGCACACCCTGTGTTGTACACCGACTAAATGGTTATAAATATTTCCCTAGGTACTGAATTTAAAGTTGAGAATGCTCGATCCACTCTTTTATGTCTGGAGTAATATTCTGCATCTCTGCAGTGACCCACAACAGTTACAGTCGAACCTTGTAAAAAAGCAGGATTTTTACGTTCGGGCCTTTACTGAAAACGGTGAAGATAATTGAAATAACTGTGCATCAACTTCGTCAGATTTACCGCTAGTTGCGGTGAGCTGAGAATTCAACTGTACAGTGATTGAACGTTAAAGATCACGAACATATTTTAATTCCGGTTGCTTTTGTTTATTTAACTTTAAAACTCCAAACACTTTCAGTAGGTGGTTGAAGGGTTAAAAAGAAGAACTGTGAACGGTTGCGTGACTGCAACTTTTACTAGTAGAAAGTACGCGTGTCACCTACTCGGTTTACACCATACGCCTGTGTTTGCAATATAGCGATATTTAAATTGAATAATTCATGAAACGTACTATTTGTTTTTATCGCCTACCGACTGACCCATATTTTTATGAGATCAATATTTATTACTGCCCCATCAATCACTTAGGCGTCTTCTATTTTTCCATGTGGGTGGTTTTCTTGAATGCGGCTGTTGTTATTCCTGATACAAAGTTGTCCGATAAGTGACAAACCAACACAGTTATTGTTATTAATCACTCTGGTTATCATTCCACGAAAACCTTGGCTCTTCCAACAATATTAAAAGTGTTTCCAAGTATAGTGACCCCCTTACGACAATTTATTTTGGTTGAGCTAATTAGCCTAAGGCTTTTGTTAATCAAACTTGTCTCTCGCATATATTATCTTGATTAGGATGATGACTCTCAATATGTTGTATTCTACAGTGTGTCCATGTTAATTGTTTTTGTTATTATGGTTATATAGAACTTGAAATCTTACCATCCTATATGCTTAGACAAATTTTGGAGATATGAAAATATTCACGCGGTACTTTGAATTTATACCGCGAGCATTGGTTCTAAAATATATAGGATTTTAAGAATTCGAGAAAACGGAGGTTCTCCAATTTTTTGTCAGCGAACAGATATAGTCCCGTATTCGAATGCTAAACTCCTACAGGATGTTCCTTGGCCAAAATTAACACAAAAAATTCAAGTGCACTAAGGATCCTTACAAAGCTATAGTGGCTGGAAGATGGCCTGTCCACAATGATTTTTAAAAAATATCTATTTTCTAAACCAGTTAAGGTATCAGTACAGTCCGTACGATATTTATTGAGATAGAATTCCATGAAAAGAATAAGCCAATAAAGTTCTGTTATTGGAACTACTGTAACAATTTACCGCAGCAGGGGCGTGTCTTGACATTTTCCTCCAATGTCTTTCTACCTCGGATGTCCATTACTGCGACAAAAGCGTGCCTTGAAATTTTCTGCCAATATCGTTCTACCTCCAGTGTCGAATGCGGTTAATTCCAAGAAAGTGACTCAGGGGTCTTCTTGGAATCCTATCTAAATATCTAAATATTGTCCGAATCTGGTGCAGGTTTTTAGCTATTTATTGTATATATTTATACCTACACAGTCACAAAAAATTTTGTCTTTTAGATCAGACCCTTTTCCCTATGTATTTTGATGTTCTGGAAACGAATTTTAGGCTTTGGGTAACATCATCAATACTTATGTGATATGAAAATAATTCTGATTTTCAACGTTTTTGACATAAGAGACTGCGTATGAAAGGTTGAGGTACAGATTTTCAAGCTATGGAGATTCATCGATTGTCAATTGACTGTCAAGAGTGGTTAGAGCTCCATATTCCCAATGGAACTGGGTGTCTGCGCATCTCTACCTTCTGTCAAAAAACCTATAATGAACGGTTCAAGAGGATGAAAATCTTACTCGACAGGGTTTCGGATGCCCAGAAAGGGTAGGAATAGAAGTGGGCAAGCGGGCTGCACTGGTCCGTCACTTAACAGACAGATCATCGATGCAACGACATCAGATCACTCATCAGAAGCTTGAAAAACCGATAAACAATGAGTTCCTTCATCAACTGGAAAATGCTTGATCTGCTGGTCTATATCGGCATCTGTTGACAGTCAATTATTGACGATACTCCATAACTAGGAAAACTGTACCTCAAAATTTAACACTCAGTCTCTTATATCAAAAACTTTGAAAATCAGCATTTCGTTCACATGCATGTGTTGATGAGTGGCATGAGGTAACCCAAAAAATGCCAGAAAACCTGATATATCGCTCATTCGAAGGTGATTTGTGGAAACGCCTTGAAGCAGAATTTTGTCTAACCCTTAAATTCGTTTTCAGAACACACAAAATATATAGGAAAAACCGGGTACCTATGATCTAAAAGACAAAAACTTTTTTTTGTATTATTTCTTTGTTTAGGAATCGAAATTTATATGAATCTATAATCCAGAGATAAACGGTGTTAAAATTTTAGAAAAATATTACGTTTATGTAAATATCCTTGACATAGACTGACGCAATTTTAATAGGTAATGGCAAAAATTTACATTTCATCGGTTTATTTTCTATTAAGTATACAAAAGTTGCCTTTTATTTTATTCGTAAAATTATTTTTTCTTAATTTAAAATAAATTTCACACCGTTGAATAAATCGACAGTAATTGGAATACTACTTAGTTGCCAAAAAAAAACTACTAACTTTTTGTTAGAAATTCAGTTTTAAATACAGGGTAACCAATAAAAGTCAGAAAAATGTATATTGGCGTAGTGATTTAAATTCTTTTAAGAGTAATTAATATTTTAAATTTTTGTACCAATAATTTTTTGAGACTAGTAATGTAACTTATTTAAAATTCTATATATAATAAAAAAATATCTTTTTTCCGCGAAATGAGTAGTTGTACAATTACTGTCGATTTATTCAACTATGTAGTATGTTTATTTTACACAAAAAGATAAAGATTGATGACTGGTATCTTGAATAAATTAAAGAGAATTTTTCTCTTAGAAAAATAATTATGAATCAAATGCACCGATCAAATTTTCAAAATGTTCCATGATGTTGAAATTCTCAGATTTTTATCCGCAACGTCTCCCAGAAGTTTCGTTAGTGATTGACGTAATTGTATCCAAAATCAATGAATTTTTACTAACCTTTATTTAGTTAAAACATTAACCCGGGCCTCATTATTTTTATTTAATTTTATACTTTTCAAAAATTTCAACTATCGTATCAACTATATTCTTAAAATGGTCCAAGGAATCACCGATTAAAATATTTTTGTCTGGATAATTTGCTACTTGTGAAATTAAAAATTAATTGAAGATACCCTTGTACCAGAAGCACAATTCAAAGGTTATTAATATTATCTCTGTGAAGCTCTTGCTATTTTATTTCTTTTTGTTGTCTGCTTTAGATTGCATTATTATATTTATCTGTTTATTTCGCCTTGTTAATCGTTTTGAATTAAGGATTCCGTTACAAGAGCTGTAACATAACGTTCCATATCATTTTGATTATACAGACATTCCTGCAGGTATCAAGATTATTTATAAAATAAAGCCGCAGTTTATAAATTCAAGTCCGCTTCATATTTTTCATTTCTTCTCAGTAAATGTGCTTATCAATATTCTCTACAAATAGAATTACGCCATTCTGCCTTAGTTTTATTTACTAACAAATATAAATAAAGTCATGGGTATTTAAAGATATAAAAATGATATAAATGGAAGGCAATATCCACATTAAAATAAAAAAGTACATAAGAGGCGTCTCTCTGACATTTATTGACGATATAAGATATCAATTTGTTTATAAATATTGGTTCCAAACTTTGATAAATCTTGTTTTTCATTCACAGTAATTAATAAAATTGAAAGTTAGCCTGTAATCAAATATATCTCGTCACGTCGAGTTAAATTGATAATTCATTCTTCAATTTAAATTGTGGAGCAACATCAACGACAAAAATTCGATGAATTAAGTTCGGCAATTTACATTGACAGAAAATGTTTGCTTATGTTTTGCATATCGAGAACCAAATGTTGAACTAAAGAAACTTTCAAATAGATTTAAGGTAAAATTTCAATAGATCGTGTATCAATTAAAAATGGGAAAGTAATAATGTATTACCCACTCTAAATGCTAGTAAGCTGGACTGGATCATTTTAGTAATAGTAAGGTGAAAAAAGTACCTATGAGTAGCTGAAAAAAACTGCGTTTCACATACTAAAAATGTTGAATTCAAATTCATTCAATGAACATTCAAGTTGTGACTACTGTACAAAAAATTTATTATTGACATAAAGATTAACACTACTAGTCAGTTTTTTAATTACAAACGATAAATCTAATTGTACGTTGCAATTGGAGGGCTATATGAGTGAAGAATCCAAATTAGAATGTGTTTTCTTTATATGGAATCCTACTTACACTATGGATATAACGCTGAGGGTAATCGGCGAAGATCTATTTTCGTTTTTTTTTTTAGGTGAATTGCTGCTTGCCCGACCCCTTTCAGACATACTCTCCGTTTCCCACACGGGCCAACCAATTCTCCTCACGGTGACAGCTGAGGAAGTCCGTTCTAACCCCGAAGAGGCTCCAGCTCAGTCCTCGAGTGTGCAGTTGGCTGTGATACCACCAGGCATAACACCAGGTTCACCAACGTTCGGAGCCATAGAATACAACGCCTTGCTAGATGAAAACTCTCCCACTGGGACTGTCTTGGATTTACCCCAAGCTGAAATCAATACCCAACCTGGGGATGTCGTTACTTTGGAACTAATTAATAACAATGGTAAAGAAACTGTCAGAATTAATTCGATTTAATTGTTTTAATGAATACTTCTGACGTGATTTACACAAAATATTTTCTGTAATATTAACCACTGGCTTTATATCTCATACGTAGTAAATGTCCTCATTATTGAATGACCCCATTCCATTTTATGGTTGGTTGTCGTGCGTTGTCTTTGTTTATATAAATTATTTTCATCTAGTGCACCCTGTAGAGTTTGAAGTTTAAAATCGATGTTTCGTTATAAATTTTATGTATCTCATTAAATTTAGATATATTTTTTAGATGTTATATGAAACTATTTCTACCGATATATTCAGTTTACCGATAGTTACTTTGGGTATCTTGGCTCCCAAAACATAGCTCTGGAAAATAATGTGGTACCCATTTGACCAGACATTCGTTGGCTCAGAATAATCCTATTTAGCTCAATATTGGAGAATATACTGTATTTTATGATCGGAAATTAATATCCATCATTTTATAGAATGTGGAAGGTAATCGAAAGATCAGAAAAAGCCAATAGAGCATAATTTGAATGTAGAAATTTCCAAAAAATGATTAAAATCGTGGACATGTATTTGAGTGAGAAAAAAAACGAACACTTTTCGCGAATTTGCAGCCCTCTAACAGCTGAATTAAGCGAATTTGAATTTAGAGTTCTAATAGCCCAGAAATCTCTGGTCAAATGCTGTCAATTTTCTGAATAGCTCGCATAAAATTAAATGCCATTTAACACTACGCAATTATTTTGTAGTTTTCAGGTGGCACATAAATAATGATATAATTTTATCTATAAATAAACAAGTATATATTAGTCAGTTAAAAAAATACAAAAATCTTAAAAACGTCGATAAAAATTTAAAAAGTAAAAAAAATCGTTTGCATTAGTTTATATGACAAATTTCGTTACAGATTTAGCTCAGAGCTGAAATAGGTGTATCATTTAGATAGAACATAATGGAGATGTAAATACATACTGATAAGTAACAGAATGTAAAATAAGCATAAATTATATAAGTTGATACCTGATCCGATACCCGTGTTTTTTTAATGGTTTTGTCTAGAATCACATAATGTTATTCCCTAGGTTTAAACTGGATTAAAGTGCCAATGTTGCACAATATTCTGCGACGGTTAAAGGACAAGCACATGATACGTATTTGCGTAATGAATTTAAAAATGGGCATTCCCTTTCGTTAGTTACGAGTAGAATGGAGTGATTCTCTTTTAGAAAACGCAACTTTGTAAAAAAAAAATATAACTCTAATGTTAATATAAAATGATAGTAAAATAATAAAACAAATAAATATAAAATAAAATAATAAACGTGAATGTGCAAGAATAAAAAATAGATTACTTAATGATTTAATCAAACACCTGATAGATCGTACACGTACACACTTTTTTTCGTAAATATTATTTACATTTGATGAATCCTTCTTCAGAATGTATCTGTCTCATATTACTTAATTTATTTTTTTGTATTCTCTTTACTGATTCGTATATTTCGTTTCAACTTTTTCGGAAAAGCATCTTTAATGATTTATTGGAAGTTTTTCTAGTTCTTGCACTAGGCACTGAATTATATTAAGTGTCTAAGGGTTGTTGATTTTAAACCTACATTTTATTGCAGTTTTAAGTTGCAGTATCTGTTTCATTTACCTCCACGTTGACTAAATAAATGAATTTATTACTACCGTAGACCTTTTAACTTTGCATTTCCGTTGCAAATGGTATTTATTATTCTATAAAAATGTAGGTATCAGTGCTTCAAATTCTGGTCTAACTATCATCCGAAGTTGAACCACCATACCCATTTCATAGAAATCAATGAGTGATAATACAACATATTTTGAAAGTTATTGCCAATGGTATCTCCTATAGGTTCAACTCTCCTCGCTATACTTTAATTACAAAAACAACTCTTTTTGCGGGCCTGTAACACATCTTTGAAACATGGAAAAAGTAATAGAACTTAGTGATTTTGATGATGTATGTATTAGAATCTCCTAATATATAAAACATGTAGAAAAAGTACTAAGTATATGCAGAACGTTTTGACCATTCTATTAGTAATTTAGTGGCCTCGGTAGCCCAAACTAGTTTTCGAGATATTTTGAGTGAAAGAATCTTATTTTTTTTATTTTCACGATTTTTTGAAACTTTGCAAAGAATTTTATTTTGAATTTTTATTTCAAAGTTGTGGTTCCGTTCATATTTAAAATTTAATATGAAGAATGTAAGAAATATAACAATAGATAAAGTTGAAGAGGAACGTTGATACCAAATGTGTCGACACTGAAATTGTATGCAAAAAACTGTTGTAATAAAGTTTAATAGATTTAAAAAACCTGTAAAAATAAAAAATAATTATTTTTGCTTAATAAGTAGTTTGAAAATCGGATACCTAGAGTCGGTCCAGGTAACCATTTTTTTTATTTCTTATATGTAGTACCTGAGAACTCAATACATGCATCAATAATTACATTACAGAGTGTGTACCAGTATTCCATGTACATGGAATTGCAGCAAATTCTGAGAGTTTGAAATAAGATGGCTGAACTAAACTTATCGCTATCCAAAGTTGCTTCAAACGAAGCTAAATAGCCATTACAGAGCGTCAAAAATGGTAAAAAAAATTTTTTTTCAGATAACTAAAACGTTTTATGAAATTTAAATAAAATGTGTTACAGAAATTGGAAAAATACCCTCGCCTTTAATACAATTTATATTTGTATTTGCTAAGAGTTTACAACCTCACTTATCATTTTCATAAAGTCATAAAGGCAAAGGTTTTCTTCAGATTTTTTCGCTTGCAATTTTTTTTCAGTCCTATATGTTTCCCCATAAATAATTATTTTGTTATCATCACAGAATTTTTGGAACAAACTTTCTATTGTATTATTTACCTGATGATAAATAATGCCTTACGCAGTTTGGGAACCAATTGCCATTTACAGTGACACACAAGTCAATCCAAAAAATAAATAAATAATATTCAGTTAATACCAAATTTTCCTCATCCTGTAAATTATGAGCATTAGTTTCTCATCGAATTCATGTAATGAAAACATTTTTTTTTTCTAGGTACTTTCGATATTTCTCCCAACGTGGTAAATGGCCATTCCAAGTTCCAAATAACCGTCCACGACCCCAAACTGCTGGACTACGAACAGCGACAATACGTGCAGTGCTACATAGTGGCCAAAGAACTAGGAACGGGAAATTTCACCGCAAAGGCAAAACTGACCGTGGTGCTAAACGACATTAACGACAATCCTCCAAAATTCATTAAAGACGAATTCCACGGCAACGTATACGAACACTCAAATGTCAGTACAACTGTTTTATTAGTGGAGGCGACGGATGTAGACAGGGAACCAGGAAGCAAGATAAGGTACACCAAATTAACCGGTCCTGGGAGTGAATTGTTCAATTTAGATCCAGATACAGGAGTAATAACTGTGGCGAACAGCCTAAATTTAGACGCGGAAAAATTTCCGATTATAACGATGACAGTGGAAGCAGCTGATGAAAATGGAAACGGCCTTACCGCCACCTCTACGGTTGTTGTAAATCTTTTGGACATCAACGACCAAAACCCCACCTTTGAAAAATCCGTGTATGAATTCATTTTAAATTCCGACAGAATTAGTTTCACTACACCGGCCTTCGTCAAAGCTACTGACAGAGATATCAGCCCGCCCAACAACGTGATCACCTATCAGCTTGCAGAACCTCCAGAGGAGTTGGATATCGACGCAAAAACTGGTGAATTGAAACTCGTTAAAGAGTGGGACAGAAATCAAGTGACCATCCTTAAAGCAAGGGCTATAGATGAAGGATTACCGAGACGTTATGGGGAATGTGAAGTAAGGATCTATCCACCAGAAGGTCAATCCGTCAAAATCATATTCGTTGTTCCCGGAAAAAATCCCGATAAAGAGGCCATAGAGAAGACTTTAATTGCCTTGACGGGAGCTAGAGTTGCTGTTAATAAGATCAGGCCCTACACTGGGTACGAACCAGGCGCTGCTTACCTTTCCAAGGACACTACTGGTGATAGGTATCATTCTCTATTATATTTAAAAAATAATCTTTAAATAATGAACTGTTCTAAGCGCATATTCTTATATTAATAAAAGTTAATTTCACACAATAGAGAGGTACACACACAATCAAAACTATTACAATCTTTATACCTGTATTTGCTATGGATATTATATAAATCATAGGAGTCGAAACTTCTAAATTTCTATGAGTGCTCAAATCTCAATTAACAGTAAATATAGAGGAGTTTTTGTTTATAAAAGGTTTCGCATTGTTATCTATGCAATTTTAATTAAATCTAGTGGGCTGTGTCCGTATGTTATTATTCTTTATGACATTACGTTTTGTTTGAAATACAACACCAATATTGTTTCAGTACTGCAGTTTTATGGTTATTTACAACAAAATCTGATCTTTTTCAAATAATTTCACTGTAGACTTAGATTTTCATGTCAACATGGCATGAAACCATTCAACATTAAATGTTATGTAGAACGCAAATAGCATTTTTAAAGCTTTCTGCGACACAATATAGCATGTGCAATGTATAGAAGACAGAAAACTGTGTTTTAATAACGGATATCTTAATGTCGACATTCAACATTATTTTCATCAAAAAGTAACGCCTTCAAAAAATGTTCACAAAAAAATTTATTTGAGACTTAAAATAAATTTTATCAATTTCTTAGTCACGAAAGGGAATGCAATAAGAATGCAAAAAAGCAAATATAAATATTCAGTAGTAAGAACGTTGTAATAATTTAACTGTTATTCAATTAAAATTATTCTATCGAAAAGCATATTTCCAAGTTTTGCTGCACAACCTTTATAACCATTAAGACAATTTTAAATACGATTTCTGAAAATAAATAAAGGGGTTGATACCTTTCATTTATAAATTCACCCGCATCCCCTATATACCTATAGCATAAAAATTAAAACGAATAAAATAAGTACAAAAAATTAATTCTGCTGTCAATTAATTAATGAGTAGTTTAATTTATTTATTTTAAATACCGAGGTACCAGATACCTACTTTACCTAAAAGTGAAGCAAAAATATGTTTGTCAAAGAGAAAGTGACATAAAAACTAGGAAAACATTTTTATCCTTTCGATATCTGAAAATAAATATCGTAAAAATAAACAACTTAAGTACATTTACTTTCTCTTGCCTTTCAGTTTCATGCTTGTATTAGGTATGCTCTAATTAACCTATGTGGTTTATAATATTAAATACCTATATTCGACATAATTCTATCAATTTTATTTGTACCTCATGGGAAAGTGAAATCAACTTGAAATTATATTCATTAAATATAAATAAATATGTAAATCAACTTATTCGCTTTTCAGGAGCGTGGTTGAGGCTACAGTAACTTCATCTAAAGATGCAGTGGTGGACGTTAACAACATACAAAAAATATTCGACAGAGAAAACGAACAGAATCAATACCGCGAGAAAGAAATAATAAAAATAAAAGAAAGCAGCAGTGGCGACCTCTTGTGGTTGTTAATACTGTTCTTCATACTAGTCATAATAGCAGCGATTATACTAATATTATGCTGTTTGTGCAAACAGTGTCCTTTGTATATGTACGCCAAGAGGAAGAAAGACACTCCACAAGTGGAAAAAGTGGAAAAAATAAAAATAATCGGCACCGGACAAGGCCGAGAGACGAAGTCAGTCCAAGTGGCCGAATGGTTCGGAAGGAAGGAAGCCTGGACACCCGAACACGTCCTGGTTGACGCAGAAGCGGAGTCCCTAAGAAGACACGAAGTCGAAAGAGGGTCCGACCGAGGGGGCGCCAAGCGAACCATCCACAGACAGAGCCAGATCCATCGAGAACCTTCCCGGGACCACTTGTACATCCGAGAAGGCAACACTGACATTCTTCGGTTAGTAACTCGCGGGGGAGAGCAGCAAAGGCCCGTCACGCTCATCGCCGAACAAGCATATATGGCTGACAGCGGCAAAGATATCCTGATGCGACGTTTCATTGACCAGCAGCAAGCTGAAGCGGCCAAGTCACAAGTTCTGCTACCCAACGCCGTGAACCGGCTGCAGACTGAACACGAGCTCCTGGAAGCATCTCTACGACAGCAAAATGCACTACTCCGTCAGATCTTGCTGGATCGCGAAAGGGATCTGAGACTGGAGACACAGTCACTACCAGCGGGAACACAGACAGACCACGACGCTGGAACTCAAACAGAACCACAATATTTGCGACCACCGCGTCGTAAAGTCAGATCCGACAACGACCAAAGCGATGCCAGCGACGATGATGAAATAGCCATCATCAAAGCACGTGCGAAGAGAAGGAACGGTCAGAAAATTCACGTCCGGAGGAAAATTAAGACTCCCATACAAGAAGAGACGGAATTAGAAATCATCGAGAGACCACAGAAGGTCAAGGCAGTTGAAAAGAAACCGAAAATTAAACAAACTAAAACCAGTGAACTCAGACAAAAACGCGCTTCGAGTGAAGCAAGATCATCACAGTCTAGATCTTCCAAATCAGGACTAAGAAAAGACGTTTTAAGAGAAATCTCCGCGTCTCTAGAACAAAGCGACGAAAGTCAAAGCGACGCCGAAGGTTACTTTGCAAAAGAAGCTCGAAGAGAATCCAACGAAGTATTCTCAGACGACAGCCTGGAAATAAGTCCACGTTCCGAAAAGACCACAGATTCCAGCAAGCAAAAATACCACTCGGAATCAGATCTCCGAATTGTCTCATCCCAAAGCCATAGACACTCTTCAGAGAAGCGACAACAAGAAGCACTAAAATCTCAAAGCCACACAGACTTAACGAAAATAAAACCTACTTCAAAGAAAGCTGTGAGCAAAAAGCAGAGGCGTGGATCAAGATATATGGAATGGTACAAACCCACTGACAAATCGAAAACAAAAGACGCAAAATCTAACAAGGACAAAACAGAAAAAGAAATTAAAAAAGAGGAAACTAAGCCTTCAGAAGCTACAGCAGCAGTACTAAACGACATTGATTCTAGTTTTCGAAAGAAATCGGATTCTAAGAAAAACGTTCTAGGTCCAGAACATCCCCTGTTGCAACATTCAGAGCATAGGTTCGAAGCCCAGTATCCCATAATACAAAACGCACTACCGAGGAGGCCCGAAGATGACGCTGACTCGGGAATTGCGCTGTCCAAACCACCCAAGGCCCAGAAGAAGAGCGTGTTCACTATAGCGTACGATGACATGCACACCAGTCAGTTGAGGAATGATAGCACATCACCGCCATAATGTTTTATTTATTTCTATAAAGCTATTCGAAAATGTGGATTATCAAGATGTATTTTTATACAAAATGTATGTCACACTGTAAATAGTGTGGTTCAATGACTCTTCAATTGTCTATAAGATTATCCCTTTTATTTATTAAAATGTTTAAAATAATTCGAAATATATTGGATAAAATTAAAAAATAAATGTAAATAGGTTTTTTTCTTCGAATTTAAATATAATAAAGACAGAGAATCTATTAAACTTTATTTTAATTATTTTTTTAATGTGAATTTAATACTCGTATAGCTTTAGAGACGCATATAGTCATGTTTTATCGGATGAAAGGGTGAAGCTGCATTCTTTATTACGGATTTTTTATTATTCCAAGACACTAAAACAAGTTAGCGGTCAATCCTTGTTATCGGACATTACTTTTTATGGATATTTACATTACAACAGATAACGCAACTTTTACAAACAAAAAATGTACTGTAAAATGTAAACAAATTTTAGTTCTGAAATGAAAATTTTCTAAACATAAAATCTCAAATATAAATCTACCTATGGTACATGTTCGAGGATGATTTATATTATTGTATTTTATTTTAATTTCAGAAAGATATTTAAAAATATTTTATTTACCAATATGTAGAATTTATGATTTATTAGACATCTAACAAAGATTATATTTGTTCTTTAAAAATCATTACAAGATTTGGAACATGATTTTTCTAGAGTAAATATTGAGATTACTAACAAGCTTCCTGCTTGCGTTACTCATAAACATATCAAGAATTCTATGTAGACGGTAGTAAATATTTGTATATGTATTCAACCTACATTATACTGATTTTCAAATTAGGCTCTCAATGATTAAGATAGTAAAAGTCCAAAATGATAAGCAAATAATGCAGATGTCATAACAGAACATTAAATTTACTTGGCTATCGTAATAATAAATTTAATAGGATCTGGATTCTATATTCTAGATTATACATACATGTACTTCTAATTTCGATGGTATTTAGTAAATAAAATAATAAACATATTGTCACATAAATCTAGAATAAATTACACAGTGCCACATAAAAAAGTGGTCTATTATAGGTCGTAGACCAAACCACCAGATAATATTTTGACCAGCTGAATCCGAATCTAAAGTCAGAATTGCCGGATCAGTTCGTATTTTGACCCTAAGATCAAGAAACTCCTCTAGAAAGCGGTTATACAAATTTTAAACCGACTTGAATAGTCAGGTGATTAGAAAAACATTCGAATTCCTGATTTCCATACACCATCACCACTGAAGTCAATTTGAAAGATCGAAAAACGCTTTCTAGAGGCCAGTATATTAGGCCACTATATTAGGCCAGTTACACACGGGCGTACATACAACATGCAAGTACGTTCAAAAACGCGCAAACAATATTTGCGTTAAATCTGTCTAAACACAAACGTACTTTTTAGTTTTGTACAGAACATCCATGTACAAATGACGCGGAAATAAGAACTACAGCAGAGGCGTACGCTTTTATAGTTAAAGACAATTACTTTATAATTAAACATTAAATCAAGAGACAGGAAAGCAACGGACAGCGTTTTAAAAGATTTTGGCATTCAAGTTTTGAATGCGTTAATTGTAAACAATACATTTTTAATTTATACAATTTTCGCTTTAACAACTTGATTTAGTTATCTTGTTGATAATAAAATACTATGTATTGTAGCCATTTAAAACAATATTAAATTTTAATGTAAAATTTTTAGAAAAGTGTATAACAATTTAATTTTATTTTATTGAGAATACAATTCGTATAGGTACTCAAAATGATTTATTAATATCTGCATGCGTGCTTCCTAAATATTATCAATAATATTAATTGCATATAACACATAAAGAGTCTTTATAATTGATTAAAAACCACATGACCGCCGAGCTAGGCAACCAACATCACACAGCTGGTACTGTCAATTAAAAATCCACCAATATTAATGATTCGTTTACAATGAACAATGACAAACCGTTACGTCTGCGCTCGAGATAATACAATCGCTGATAGGTTGAATAAAATCTCGTTAAAAATTACAACAGAATGTTGTGTTTTAATATAATTTTGATTTTATTGTTTTAATTTTACCGAAATTTAATTGTCAACAGGAAGAAAATAAATTACTTTTCAAAACAAAATTACTGATTTTTATCAAATAATTTTTAAGGCTAGTTATTTAAAAATTATTATATAAACTACTTTAATTAAAATTTAAAGTTTTCAATTCAACTGTCACACATATCTGTGAAACGTAAGCAAATATTTTTTTTATATAGTGAAGAAATAACACACACTGTACGGACATACCAGGAAAACATTAATTAAGTTACAACTACATTGCATTAAAATTCTTATATTATTTTTTTAATTATTGTAGATAATTACACTGAAAAATGGTCCAGACGTGTCATAGAATTTACACAGTTACTAAATAACGAGACTGCTTAATTAAGATTTATTATCGAGACTATATTTTGCTCTTATATATAAATTTTTTTTTATATAAACTGAGAATATTAAACCATTCATTATTTTAATTTATCGTTTAGTGGCCATATAAATCATTAAGATTACAGTCTAACCTTATTTTTATCATTAACTTTGCCCAATTATTTATTACCCCACTTGGAATCTTATATGTATAATTTTCCTAATTTGTAGTTTGAAGGATGACGTAGCTCGTCCAAAAAATAAAAATAAAATATGTTATATTCTTTAAACTGCTAATGGTTATGTACAGGGTGTGCCAATATTCCCTGTATTGGAAAAATAATTATATAATTATAATAATAATAATAATAATAAATTATAATTGGAAAAAAACTAAACATTTTTGCCAACTTTAATGTCTAGTAACGGTTAAATTAACCTTTATCTGGAGATAAGTTTAGTAAGATCGTCTTATTTTGACCATTAATCTGTTATATTCCATGTATATGGAAAATTGTGACACCCTGTATAATAATAAGCTTAAAACGTCATAGTATATTTTCTGTATGTGATAAATTAAATTTCTTCAAATAGGAGGATACGCATTTGAATACAAAGAGGTAAGTTAAACAGGCAGTAGATACTGGAAACTTCTTTAATATTCAATTTGGTGCTTTAGTCAATTCACCTGGTTCAAAAGACGTTATATGTTAACTGCGCAATATTTGATACATAAAAACTGATATATAAAACACATGCTGGCAAAACAAAAATTATTGGCCAAATAATTAAAAATATTCTTGAATTTAAATTGTATCTTGTCTTTTCTAGAAAGTCAAGTGTACTTCTTTTGGAACTAGTGTTCAATAATAATTGTATGATTGGTATTTTTCTGCTTAAAGAATTCCCGTCCGTAGATATACCTAAAGATATAAATATATGAATAGAAATGGAATGAAGGAAAATGAATTCTACTCCATATACATACATGCATATGGACTTAAAAATTGAGCAAAATTAAAGCCAAATATTTGGCCAGTAACTGCATCGTCTGAAGCCGACATAACATTTATTCAAATCAAGAAAAAGTAATTTCTTCAGTGTATTATATGGAAATAGCACAAGTTTCGTATACAGGGTGTTCCTTAATACATAACAAAATAAGAGGCAGAGGAAACAGAAATTATTATTGAGACATTTTTCCTCTCGTTTTTGTTTTTGGGCGCCAAGGTAAGTAAGCCGATAAGTTTTTAGTATGGGTGAGATATAACCTACAAAGTAGGTATGTCATATCTTAAATTTCATTGCTACTACATTAGTTAAAAAGTATATACCATACCATACTAGCAGTGACTATAATAAGAATTTAGTCACTGATACTAGTCATGCTTAATGTAAACATTGAGAAAAACTGTCTGAATAAATTTATGTAAGTAATTTGACAATAGATTTGGTGCATTACATTTGTCCAACTTCGTCATATAACAACTTCATGAATTAATTAATCAAGAAATTCTCAACGTAGAACATCCAAAATTTTGATTTGAAATTGTATTTAAAAACGTATTTTATAAATACGAAACGGTTAAAGATATGAAAAAATATATTTAAGATCTTTAAAAGTTACATCCAAACCTACAACAATGGCATATAAGTATAAGTATATGCCACTTGACCATTGATTAAGTTTATGCCCAAAATATTTAAAAATGTTCTTTATGGTTTAATGAGGAAGTATTTGTAGATTTCTGTGTATAGAACCGTCTTTTATCGGAGGAAATTCCCACGTTTTAAAATACGCAATTCAATTTTGGTACATCCTGTATATTCTGCGTTTGTCCTATTAGATATCAGAATCGCTACGTGAATATGAAATAATGAAGCCGGAATTTATATGTATAGTGATATAGCTTCCAAACTCCATTTTACGAGGGTGTTTCAGAAAGTAGCAAAGTTAATAATTTGAGACACGCAGTTCATATGAAGATAAATTGTGTGATTCCATTTATCTACACAATGACCTACACATAGTAGATACAATTTTAGAATAAAAAGCAACAGTATTCAAGTGCAACCAAACACTGTCCAATATAATTACAGCTTTCGATGTCTATCACTAACATTTTGGGGCCAATAAAAAAGAAATGTTAATACTACATTGTATATTTTCTAGTTTTTCAAACAAATACAATTATTGTAATTTATTCTGTTCACCTTTTCATTATTATGTTCCCAAGTAGGTCCATTTAAATCCAGAAAAGAATTAACAGGATGTGTCCAACAGAACATTTGTACTCGAATATCCTTCCCGACTGCAGAAAAAATGTTTTACGAGACCATTTATTTTTGTTTTTCTTGTTAATTACTTTCAAATTCTTGTAGCGTCCTTTCGTGAAATATTAGATAGCAATACCAGAAAGGAACTAAACTAAACTAGAAGATGAAACATTCATTCTGTTAAAGTCAATGTAGACTGATATATTGATGGATCAAAGACAGATGCAGGAGTCGCAGCTGGAATATACGGGATTAAAGAAA